ACTGAATTTAAAGAAAAATCTATAAGCAATTTCAGCACATAAAATGATTGTATTTAGATATATTATAAAAAAAAATCTGAAAAAGTACAGCCCTAAAAGAACTACAGCCTACCCAAGCCCTTGCTTTTTCAAATCACAACTTTGTAACTGCTGTTCAAAAGACAAAAGCTAACCTGAAAATTAATAAGCATAAAAAAGGCATAACAATGTTATGAATTTTATCCTTTATTTATAATAATACTTTTCTGGTTTCTCTCTTATTAAAGAATCCCAGAGAAGGGAAAAATGAATAATAATGATGGAGATCTCCAGTATAACTGACAACAGGCGGCACCATCAAATGTACAAAGTAAAGTAAAAGAAATTTCCTCTATGCAAAATCATCAGTATTAACTGTAACAAGAATCTGTTATGTCTCCTTCCTCCTGTCCCCCAAGCTAAGGGTGTCCCTTAGTACTGGAAAATAAATCTGATGAGGAAAGGAATGTTTCCCTTCAAGATCTGAAAAGCAAAGAACAAATTTCTCCACCTACTGGTCCAGAATAAATGACTCTGTAAATTCACACCCTGTACATAATCGTATTCACCCAAAAAACTCTGTGAAACTATCTTCCAAATATTTGGGGAAACAGGTATCTTTAGAGTTGCTGGAGTTAGAAATTAGTGCTTTTTATCATTTGGATGCTGAGAAAAAGAACTTTCAAAGACTACTTAACAGACCACCAGTACTCTAATTTGTGATTTTACTCTTTGTTCTCCATCCCTAATTTCTGAATACCATGAGGAAACTGCTTGTGGCAGTGATGGTGGTGGGGTGGGGGTGGATTTCAGTATTAATTGCCCTTAATATTTTAAACATATTGACCACTTTCTACTGTTTTCTGTGGCTTTCTACACACACTCAATTTCTCCTCGGAGTAGCTGATCTCCCAGAAGAAGCCACAAATGTACAGATATTCAGGGTTTTTCTCCCAGAGTAAAATGACCGCTCCAGGAGAAAAATAATCTGGGAATAAAACAGGTTCCAAACATTCCCGAGAGAGCAAATGTCTGTACATTTGGTCTCTGGGTAAGTTTTTCCATCAGGAGAACAAGCCAGGGAGAGTTTTCCCAGATTACTGGGATGCATGTATACAGTCTGTGTTCTCAGCCCTCTATTTGATTTGTTACTGACAGGTTTCTATTCTTCCACCTGCACCTTGGCTTCATCTCCCCAGCACTTCACAAAGCCACCTAATTACTGTCTACCACTTATTCAACTCCTCTGTCCCTTTTTCTGTGCTGGTAGATGATCACTCCAACTCCAACTTCACCAAAGGTCCATTTCCTGTCCTTGTCCCATGAAGAGACAAGTATAATACCTTTTTATTTCATGCTGTTTCAACAGACAACCAGGGCCTCTTTTCCAATGAAGATGTTGGACTTCTGTTGGAATGGACAGAAACAAGGCAAACCAGCACTGTGTAATAAACAGTGGTTTACTACAGCTCCATAATACCCACTAGTAGAAACGCCTGGCAAAAAATATTCCAGTCCATCACTGATGAGTCATGAGATGTTGGGCCTCAGAATTCTTCCATACATACAATGGACTCAATTTACTAGGGTTTTAGTTGGGGTAGATTTGATTTTTTTTTTCAAATGAAATATCATTTTGCATTTTTGATCAGCAGTGTCCTTTGCCTTCCAATTATTAGCTTCAAAAGTCACTACACTATTTTCATTCCAGTTCAGTTAAATTAGTTAAGGATGAACTGTATGCAGAGAACATGGTCTAATGAAAAGGTTCACACTATATACACTAATAGTTTTTATTCCCATTACGCACCTTTTTAGCTCATGACAGAAAACTGATTTTTCACAGATCGTCCTAAAACTTGGCATACAAAAATGCTTGAAATTATTCTGTATCAACTAATATGTTTTAAACTAGGCTTTGAGTATATGGTCTAAACTCAACTCCTCTCCACCATCCAGAATCTCTTATTACTGTTGAAAATACCACCAACCTCTGACACTCAGACTAACAAGGAAGCAATTTCTTACAACTTCTTTCTTCACCTACAGGTTGCATTAAAATCTTGCAACACCCTTCCCTATTATTTAAAAACAAATCTTTTCTTTCCATCTCCACAGCTAAAATTCTCATTTAGCTTCATTACTTCCTCCTGTTTGGCTTCTTAATACCTATACCACCTTCTCCAGTCCTTGTGGAAAAGAAAAAACAGTACCAGGATCTTCATCTTTGCCCCTCAGCTCAACCACTCCCAGACATCCTTACTCTGAATTCCTCCACTGATTCCCTCAAAGTCAAAATCGTTTCTTTTCCTCACCTACCAGGCCTCTCATGGTTTTCACTTCACTAGCAACAATACTAGCTTCAGCTACCCACTGTTCACCCCCTATTTCACAAAATGTTCTTGCAGTGATCTGTAATCCCTCTAATTTCTCTTTATAAATATTCTACGTCTCACTACATAATACTAGTCAACAAATAATAGTTACATCTAAAGACAGCATGGTAGGTTTTTAAAGGCTTAGATAACAAAACAGTGCTTTAAGGATCAGAGAGGGACATTATTTCTCTGTATGGAGATATGAATAAAAACTGGTAATTTCTCTCTTTTAACTCTGAATCCTTGTTTTTATTTTGCAACACCCCAAACATTCAAACTTTTAACTACTGTTTGTACATTCATCCATATGACTTCCACTACCAACAGGAATGACCTAAATATTGTTATGCTGTATGACTGAAGTCTGCTATTTTGTGTAGACATTTCAGAGATTAGAAGAAAAAGTGTCAGAAGTTTATTCCATGGTGGTCAGAGAAATCGAATGTTCAACGTAATATAAACATATACTTGCTTTTATACATATAGCTTATCCACACAGTCCATTTGTATCATTATAAGTATTTCAATTAACTATTATAGTTAAAATAAGTGCTGCAACCTCCTACTGTGAATGCAGCTATAGCAGGACAAATATTGAATTAGGATAAGCTATTACTTTATTGGTATTAAAGTCACCTTTGTACTGGTAATACCTACATCCACAGTTGAAGATGACACACTTTTTAACTACATTGAGATTGTAAACCCAAAGTACTGCAGCAACACAAACAGACTGCAAGTGAACAAGTTCTAAATGAAGTTTGGTGAATATTGCTTTACCATAAAATACTGGACCAAATGAATGAGTAAATCCCAAACATTAGGACCTATACCACTTAGGATCAGGTCAGCATATACTTTAAATTAATTTTAAGACTGCATGTTTACACAGAAAGACCAATGGAGATATTTTCCATGATCTTTTTCAAATTCAAAAGATTTGCTTGTAATTATCCCCCTGAAGTAGTTCCAATCACTGCCCAAACTAAGAAAAATACATAAACACATAATAACTAGTAACATAATTTATTTTTCCCATTATCTCAAACGACAGCCTTCAGGGGTTTTTTTAAAGCACTTATTTAATGATCTTCTTCAATATATGTTTTTTGATTTGAGAGGATCTATGCATTTAAGCAAATGTGTTCTGGGTAAAGTTTAACCCAGGAATAGGAGGTATATGGGAAGTACAAAAGTAACTTTACATCTGTACTAGAAGAATTAATGGCATAGTAGAACTATACATGTGTTCCTTCCCACCCTCAAGGCGCTCATCTCCTAATATATTTTCACGTGTAGTTAACTTTACTACTGTAAGTAGTCCCACTGAATATATATTTATATCCATATAAATAAAAAATTAGGGCAACCAGACCCACATTAGACTCAATCCGCTGTATTTACCAAGTATCACAAACATAACCATACCGATAATACCAGCATTTCATGTGTCTCGACATTAACACCAATATGTATTAATTGACATATTTACTGAACAAGAGGATGCAATAATCTATAATGGTGGCAAAAAGTACGAATGTATGCAGCTAAAATCTGTACATGATCACGAAGAAGCACAAGTTTATTTATCTATACTGCATAGAGTGGCTCTATGGTTTACTATGCTTATGATATAATAAAGTTTAAAGCAATTTTAGTCATGCTTATTGACTGAAAAGTTTTCTAAACTAAATCAAAACTCTAAAACTAAAAACACAATTACCTTGCTTATTTCTGTTGCATCATTTTACAAAAATGCCATATTTCATGTTTGCTGACCTAACCACTTAGAATAACTTGCTACACCATGTTATATATTGAAAATATACTGCACTAAATCCTCCATTCCATAAATGGCTTAGGGGATAAGGAACAAAATGAGTAGCAATCTTCTATCCCCTTCAGATTCCAGCATTTCCATTTTACCTCCTCCTTCAGCTGCTTCATATCTGTATGCTTGGGGCGTGTATCACTAATCATTCAGTACAGGTGGACTAAGCAAGAACTCAACTTTCCTTCTATAGTGTGAGAGTGTCAACAGTCAGAAATACTGTTGCTTCCTCATGGGCCTTCATCTCTCATGCATTTTCACAGGTACTTAACTGTTGGTAGTCCCACTGGAATAGAAACTATTTGAGGTAGAGAAGTTAAACAAAGTATAAGAGCTTGCAGGGTCAGGATCCAAGGGAACAAGCAAGTAAAACCAGGAATTAAACCCAGTTTCTTAAATAGCACCCTACAGAATGGCACACATCTGAATTTGGAAGTATCTAAATGTAATCTCACGCTTAGAAAAACAATAGAGGATCAATATTTTTAAAGTTATCCTGCGAAAATTTTCTTATGAACTTTCAGTTTCTTATGCATGCATATCAAACATGCATAAAACAGTTCCATTTGTAGATTCAAGCAAAGAAAATAAATATGGAACATACAAGTACTCATATACTATAAGTATGCTTGCAGTGGAGACCAGGAGTTCCCTTCAAGATATCTTAAAAGATACTTGGCATTTCACCTTAACCTTAACTAACTATTGTAACAAGCATTCACAACAAAAGTAATAAAATGAGTGTCCTTACATCACTTATTTGTCAACTTTACCTATAGCATGGATGATACGTTGTTTTAGAGATCTCTTTGGCTCCTCTTCCTGAAGACTTTTCATGGTAACTCAATAAAGAATGAAAAGCAACACTGAAAACCCAAGAACTGGCTTAAGTTTGACTGGTGTCTGAGGTAAACTCTCCCCCCACCTCCCCCACAATAGTAAACAGTAAGATGTTTACAATTTTGCTCATTAGAAAAGTAAAGCAAGATACTGGAGGTAGCAAAAATGGAAGGCAGGCAATAGAATAGAAGTCTACACTTTATGAGTTCCCCCCAAAGTAGGAATCAAATCAGGAATACCTTTGCATACTTTCCCCTACTCACTAGTCTTCCTTACAGCAACTAAAAGTTCTGAAGCTTCTCTGCATTTTAAATTATCTATTTCGTTCAGCCTGTTAAGTGCTTAACTGAACAATTAATCATCATAATAAGCAGGCAGACTACTGTTATTTAACAAGCCACAGAACAATCACAGTTTTCAACCTTTGAAGCAACAAGTAAAAATCTCTATGATGAAGAAACCTAAAATGGAATGTTATCACATGCTAATATTACAAGTGTCTTTAGAAATTAATTTGAATCGCAGAAATTAATTTGAATCACCATACTAAAATTGCATGTATGTATTCTCCTGTGGCCTTCTCGAAAGGTACTACTTGTTGGAGGCACAAAATACTTCACTTCATGATGTTCTACACAATTATGTTCAGTGAAACTAATCGCTCAGGGATCAATTAGTTGACCACCATGTCTAGACGTCATTCAAGGTGAAGTTCTATTTTCCCAGTAGTAGCTGTTGTTACGTAGTTTACATCAGATTAATGCTGCTTAAATAAGTCAATTAAAAGCAACTCACCACCATCCCTCTCTCTAACTCTGTGAGCATGCACACTTTTTGCTTTACTGTGCCCTGTGTTGTCACCATATTTGTTTTCAGGGCTATCAGATCGCCGCAACATTTTGTTTGGTGGTGAAGGATCTGTGGTGTCTCGCATCTTGTCATGACGGTGATCACCACCACTGGGGTGACTCTTTGATGAATATTTAAGAGTCTGCAAGAGATGAGAATGCGCTTTAAAACTGGGTTTCATTTTTGTAGTAGTTACTACCACTTCCCACCAAAACATGTATTCTAAATACAGAACACGTTTAATTTCAATCTAGTATGACTCAAGATTATAAATGTGATTAGAGCAGGACACTCAGCCTTTGGCTTTCTAGTTGTAGTTACCCATACAAAGTAATAAGTTATGAGGTGGATTTAGGTCTTGCGACACCTCTGCCCATTTTGATATCATATGTGAACATTATTTTTAATATCCTCTAAAAGCAAAGTGGCCATTCCTCAAACTTCTTCATTTTGTGACCCAGATACGTTTAGCAAACACCCAGTTTCTTTCCTCACCTACTTCATTATCAAGTAATGCAATATATACTATTTATCATATGTAACTTCTGCACAAACCAGTATACACACGCACTGCAAGCTTGATTTGAAAACTTTTACCCTAATCCAGCACCTTTTACCCTAATCCAGCACCCCAATGAACTTCTAAGGGCAAGAATCTCCTGAAGCCATAAAACCAACTTAACAGCCAGAAGCGCAGTGGAGGGACAGGCAGTGCTTCCGCTGGCCTGCGCCCACTTGGAAATATTGACCTGCTGGAAGTGCCCCTGTCCAGCCCCTCTTCCACCTACTTGCTTTGGCAAGGCACTTCGCTGCTTGGGGAGTGTTTGTGTGCACGAGAACTGCCCCTTCCAGCTGCCTTCAACTGTCAGATTTCATTTCCCGGCTAATCAAATGCCCAGAGCCGTGAGCAACCAGCACCCTTGGAGAAGCCCCACAGTGCAGGCGCCCAGGGGCTGCCTCCCTACCCAGGGGAAGGGGGGGTGCTTCTCCAGTGCCCCCGAAGGCGGCTCCTCCCCGGGTATGAAGCCAAGTGTCCCAGCTCCTAAGTTGCTCCGTTGCTGGCAGAGAAGCTGCTTTCCCATTTGTTTTGGCTCCAAGCGACCCCAGCGGCTCTCCCGCCCGGCCCCGCCCCGCCCCGCCCGGCTCGGAGGCCCAA